AAGTGTAATTGCTGTTTGCTTAAGAGTTGCTTTAGTCAAGTGATGTTGAGAGTGCAGTGTGTGTGTATAAAAAGGCAAATATGGGGACCCCAGCCAAAAAGAGTGTGCCTATCCAGGGGCTTGCCAAGCTAGAAAAGGGTACTACACAGCAGGGCACTCTCTGCCCTGAGCTCAGTGCCCCCATTTCCCTGATGCCTGAGAAATCCTGCTACAGCCAGAGAGATAAGAGGTACTCAGGTATCTGAGGATGGTGCCCATACTATTTCAAAGACATTGCCAGGCACCTGACCTGCCATCTGTGGCTAGAGGGCAATGTCCTATAAGAGGTGGGTCAAGCGCTCCTTTGTACTCCCACATTACTGCCCCTTTGAGAGTGTTAACACATATCTGTATTCTGTCATTTGAGCTTTGTTCTCTGTTTAGGCTGGATGATCTTTTAGTATGTCTAAGACATGGTTGCTAATGCAAAAATTAGGAAGTTAATCATCTCATAGGAGCTTGAGGTGATGAGACACTGGACAGATAAGCTTTGGTGGGGATTAGAGGAAAAGCAGGGGCATATAATTGATGCCAGGGAGAGTAGACACCATTTGGGAGTAATGACAGCGCTCATCCCCTATCCAAGAGCACCAATGGTAGAGACAGGGAGTGAGGAGGAACCCAGACCCTCAGCTGTGGCATGGATGCCAAGATTTCGCCTCGTAAAGTCAAACTGATTTTAGGGTTATTGGATAAAAGCAGATATGAGCTAGAGGGTATGGGTTTTGGCCTGAGTTCTAGAGCTCCAAACTTGGGGGCAGGATGAAGGCTAAGTCCTGAGAGGAAGCAGTGGAAGGCTCCAGAGCTTCCTTAGGCCTCCTCTGCTGGAGAGAGTGCATTGCTGACGTTACCTGGTCTCCACCCTCTCCATGAGCCCTGAGCCAGGGGCTCCCTGCTCCCTCCTGGCTCACATTCTAACTCTGATGTCACTGGGCTCCCTGCCCTCCCTTCCCATACGCTCGTCCTGGCATCAAGCCAAACTGAATCGTTAGCTATTTTTCTACATGCCTCTCCCTGCACTTCCCCAGTGCTATCTCTTTGCTCTCCCTACACCGCCCCTGCCCCCTACCAGAATGCCCTCCTCACTATCACCTTGCTCCTGAATTGTGTCCCAAATTTTGCCCATCCCCTTCCCAACAGTATTTGTTTCCCATGGCTGCTGTCACAAATTACCGTAAACCTGGTGGCTTCACACAACACAAATGCATTATCTGACAGCTCTGTAGGCCATAAGTCTGACAAAGGTGTTCCTGAACTAAAATCAGGGTGTCTACAGGGCTGCATTCCTTCTAGAAGCTCTAGGGAAGAATGTATTGGCTTGCCTTGACCAGCTTTTGCAGCACCCACAGTCCTTGTCTTGTGGCCCCTGCCTGCATCTTTGAAGCCAGCAGCATAGCATCTCTCTGATCCTACTTCCACGTCCATCTCCTTTTCTAACCACAGCCAGGAAAGGTTCCTCTGTTAAGGAGCCATCTAATTAGATTGGGCCCACCTGGATAATCCAAGCCACTCTCACCAACCAAGGACCTTAATTTAATTATATTTGCAAAGTGCCTTTTACTGTGTAAGACAATATTCACAAGTTCCAGGGATTAGGATGTGGACATTTGGGGGTGTGACATTGTTCTGCCCCCACCACTGTGGCACAGCCCAAGTAGCCCTCACTGCCCTCAAAGCCCCCTCTCCACCATTCTGGGCTCCCCTGGCCCTTGGTCTAGGTTTCCCAAGTGCCGCTGCAGCCTTCCCCCAGCACAGCTCTTACCACCCTGAATTGTCATTGCTTGTTGATTTGTCATTTTCTTGCAATAAACTTCAAGTTCAGTGGGAACAGGGACAGGGTTTGTCTTGTTTACTGAGATATCCCCAGCACCTAGCACAGTGCTCAAAAAATTTTTGAAGGGAAAAAGCATTTCTGATACAGGAGATAGAAATTATTTAGGCAGACAGCAAGGACAAAAAAGTCCTTAGCAGAACTTCCCTTCTAATAAGAAGCAGTCCTAGAAATCATTTCTTTTCCAACACCGAGTAGCCTGAAAGATTGGGCTGCAAACATATATAAGGAAGCTGGAAGCTTGCATGGGGGAATGCTGGCAGCTGCACTCATAGAAAAGGGCTACCAGGGGGGCCAGGCATGTTCACCATGGGGCTCTACCTTCCCTTTTTTGTTAGCACATGTACAGTAAGAAAGAACTGGGCAACATGGAGAAGCTCAGGCAGAGAAGCCACCTGCATAATAAAGATTGGGCTGGGGGCTGCCAGAGATTTGTGCCCTATGCAGATGGCACACCTGGTGCTTTTTTTGAGGTGCCCTGTATAGATGAGATACCATCTCCCCACTAGCTCATCTATAAAACCCCCTGCATTTCACCTTGAATCGGCAACCCATTTTTCCAGGACCCCTCTCTGTAGCAGAGAGCTGTTCTCTTTCTTTCACCTATTAAATTTCCACTCTTAACCTCACTCTTTGTGTGTCTGCATCCTTGATCTTCATGGCCTGGAGACAACAAACCTTGGGTGTCACCACAGACAACAAGGCTGCTTCACTTCTACAACACATCACTTTTCATGCTACATTCCGACCATGTGATTGGTCTCCTATTAGGTTGTGCATTACTTGAAAGCAGAGTTACATATGATTTGTCTATTGTATCCCTGGGGTACCTAGCATCTGTGAGCCCTGGAGTTTAGCTCACAGATAGTGCTTGGCACATGTTTATGGAATTAAATTGAATGAATAGGTTCAGACTAACTTCACTGGCATGGCTCATAAACCAGGGCACATGGAGGATGCATGGGAATGAGGTGCCCTGGGTCAGGTAGGACTATTTGGGAAAAGCTTCTGCAAGGCAAGTGCTTGGGCAGAGAGTTGAATTAGATGAAAGATAAGGACTGGCAGGGCTAGGCATGATAATATCCTATGGAGGACTGCAATGAGCAAAGTCAAATGTAGGGACAGCCAGCGGGGGGAGTAACCAGTGATGAGATGGGGTGGGGAAGCACAGAAATGGTAACCACTTGGCTTGGTTGCCAAGTGGAGGGGTCTGAATTAGATGCAACAGGGTGCTTGCTACCAGAGATTATTGAGCAATGAGCGATGTGCTGAAAACAGAATTAGAGGAAGATAGGATGAAACTAGGAGGACACAAGAAGGGAGTGCATTTCAGGGAGCAGAATGCTAGCTGAGGAAAGATACAGGCAGGGTGACAATAGCTGCTTCTTGGGGACACCTGGATAGACAAGATGTGGAAATAGGAGAAAGGAGTCAAAGATAGTTTGATGCCATAATCTAGGAGCTGCACAAATGCCAAATGACAGTGGAAGGCCTCCCTTCTGTTTGATGAGGAAGATGGTGGGCTCAGCATTGGGCATATTTAGTGTTGTCTGTCAGAGGGTCATCCATTGGAGGTGATAGACTCAGTCCCATGCTTTTGTCCCCATGAAAGTCCCCACCTCCACATAGAACATATACGGGGGGAAGAAGTGTCTTTTTCCAGTACTTGAACTATCTCTTCTGCCCCCACGAGGTAGGCATCCTGTCTCTGCCTGAGCTTGCTCATCAAAGCAGCCATTCTGACCTCCACAATGAGCTAACATTGCCATTTATAGAGCCTTCCTCTTTGTGCCAGATGCTGTTCTAGGTGCTTTGCACATGTAAACTTATTATATCCCCACAACCACCTTGAAAATTTGGTAATATTTATCCCATTTTATGGGCATGGAAACCAAGACTTCCGAAAGGATTCCAAAGACTTCCAAAGACCCAAAGGCGGTGTCCTAAAGGAAACCACCCAAATTCACACAACTAGGAAGGGAAGAACCAGGATTCCTGCCCTGGTCACTCTAGCTCCAAAGCCCCTGACCTTTGCATCACACCACAGGCCTCCTGTCCCTGCTCCCTGCCAACTAGGTTTAATTTAATTCTATATAATTCAGTTTAGCAAACACTTCCTGAGAACCCACCAAGCACAGGTCACTCTGCCAGGTGGCAAGGATATAAAGAGGAATAAGGCATAAGCGTAGGAGAGAGGAACACAAACTCAATGGCCTCCAGATAAGTGCCCACCTCAGTTCACAGGGCCTTCGAGGGGCTTGATTCCACCTGGACCCAGCCCATATGCTAATCCAGCCACCAACCTCAAGTTTGGGCCATATTGATACCCCTCCCACCCACCCCTAAGGAATCCCAACATATCAAAGCTGAAGGGGATCTTATAATCCAACCAAATCATTTTACAGATAAGTGAAGTAAGGGAAGCTGAGGCCCAGAAAAGGGAGGTATGTTTTCCAGGCTAACACAGCGGCTTAGGGGCAGGGGCAGGGCCAGGGCCAAAGCCCCGGTGTCCTCACTCCAGGTCTGGTGCCCTGAATTCAGATGAGTCCTCTTTCCTTCACAGCTGACAAGAAGTTCACACCTGCCCTGTAGCAGCTGGGGACCCCCACCGCTGCATCCTGGCCATGCACACTTTGCCCCATTTTGCCAGGCCCAGCACCAGCATGGGGTAGGCGGACCAGGCTAAGGACGCTGTTGTGCACACTCTTCACAGGCCCAGCCCACACCAACCCCTCTCCAACCCTCGATTTCTCCTTCTCAGGTGTGTGTGTAGGGGTAGAGACGTTGCCGCGCAGAAAGTCCTCTGTAGCAAAGACGTGGATCCCTAAATAACATTTCCAGATTTTGAATGAGGACAAAGCCCTTCAATCTCATATCGTTTTTGTTGCTGTTACTAGCTTACAGTGCATAAAGCGCTTTCTCTCTAAAACAGCAAGATGAAACAAGCTGAGTTTTATGATACAAGGAAGGGAGAAGCACTGCAGTGGGAATTCTCAGGCCACACAAAGGCAAGACCCTTCCCCAGGAGTTTGGAAGGCTGACGTTCCCTTTTCTGATTTGGTCGGGTTTGAGAAATGCCCGCCTCTCCCTTGCGCAAGAGTCTCCACGCCCAGGTGAAGGCGGGTCTTGCTGCCATGGCGACAGCGCGGTTGAGCTAACGAGCTCCTCTGACAACCAATAGAAGCTAGGAGAGGGCGGGGCCCGCTGGGTCTTTTGCGGCTGCGGCGGGCTGGCAGGTTCGTGGACGCGGCATTGGGGGAGGGGACGGGGGTCGCGGGGGTACTGGGGGTCCCAGTCTGGCCTAAAACCTCTGGGCGTGGTGGGCACCGGCCTTCGCCGTCGGAGCAGGGGTCCCAGACTCGCACCCAAAAGTTCCCGTCGGGCCCGAGCGGGGAGGAGCTGCGGGGCAGGCAGAGGCGGAGATGGCGGAGGGCAGTGGGACGTGATGCGCGGGTCAGAGCCGGGCCTTGAGAAAGAACTGGAGGCCCCTGGCAGCGGTGTCCTCTCGAGGCCCCCTCTGCCGGGCCCACCAGGTGGCCGGCGGAGAGCCGGAGAGTTGTGCGGGATGGAAAGCAGGGTTTGGCGACCGAGTTTAGCAGGCCTTGGAATCCTGGAGCCCAGCCCCCAACCCCATTCCCACTTCTTGGCAGGATGGTTAAGGGCCTAGCGTGCTGGCTGCAGCGTGGCCACCTTCCCCTTCTCCGACTCCGTATCTCTTTTTCCAGGTGTCCGGCTTTGCTGGCCCAGCAAGCTTGATAAGCATGAAGCTCTTATCTTTGGTGGCTGTGGTCGGGTGTTTGCTGGTGCCCCCAGCTGAAGCCAACAAGGTGAGGGAGGTGAGCCTGCAGCACCTGGTCACGACCGCCGACCACCGTGCACGGCCACCCTGTCTGCAGGGCTGACTCAGAGGTAGCTAGTTGCTCCTTAAGCCTGCCTGTCACTCACCTATGGGCCATACTTTTTTTTAGTGGTCTTCCTTCAGGTTCAAAGCTGCTGGCCTCTCTAAGGATAGTGCGGGGGAAGAGGGTGGGGCACAGGGCACTGACTCACTCTGGATCAGACAGATCAGTGGTGGACTTCCAGCAAGGAAGTTTGGAGAAGTTATCTAAGTTCTCCGTACCTTCCTTTGCTTTGGACCAGAAGTATTTTTCGTTTCAGATATTTTTGGATTTGGGAGTATTTGCACATACAAAATGAGGTATCTTGGGGAGGGGACCCAAGTCTAAACCTGAAGTTCGTTTATGTTTCATATATGCTGTATACACATAGCCTGAGGGTAATTTTATACAATATTTTCAATAATTTTCTGCATAAAACAAAGTTTATCTACACTGAACCATCAGAAAGCAAAGGTGTCACTATCTCAGGCACCCATGTGAATAGTCTGGTTGGTTGGCATCACCACCGTTCCTGACAATGAATTTATATGCTACCGATAAATGTTTTCTTACAAATAAATTTTTAACAGTAAAAAATATGATGTACTATTAATACAGTGAAAATAAATGATGTGTTCAGGGTAGCACAGTAGCATCACCAGAGTATCAGCTGCTAGACACAGCAGCATCAGGCTTTCTGTCCCCTGCTGTGACGCTGTGTTTTGATTAAAGGTTACTGTGCACAGTATTTTTTTTAGGTGAGAAGTAGTGTCTGAAGCCGTAAAGGGACCAGAAAGTGGATTCTCTAGAGATGAGAAGGCATTCTGCCAGATGGTTTTTAAAAATGTTTTTGCCAGTCACCTGACAAGCTTTTGTCTTAGAAGTCTTTTTGATTTTATAGACTGACACGATTTCTTGTTCTGTTATGAATACACTCTGCTGTAGTATTTCAAGAAGCCCATGACTCATTTTTACCATGTCTATAGGTGCTTTTCTGCAGTGTTAACATCATCTTTGTGGTCATGTCCGTGCTTAACAAGTTTGAGATTGGGAGCATTTCGAATTTTTGTTTTAGGGATGCTAGTACTGCCACCTGTAGCAGCAGTTGTATCTATTACTCTGCTTAGGGAGAATCAAATTACATAACAATGTAAAAATGCCCTGTCAGTGTAAAGTTCTATACAGTTTGAAGTTTCCATTATTAAGGGTGACCCACCTAAGTTCTAGGACTCCTGAGATAACTTCCATTCTTTAAGGCTACATTCCTATGGAGCTGTTTGGATAGATCTATGGAACTAAAGATCATCCAGGCTTTGAAGTAAGGTTAAGGCCAGGGGTTTGCTTCCATTCTCTCCTCAGAATTCCTAATTAATAAAGACATTTATGGTGGTGTCTCTTACTCATTCCAGAAGGGAAGAACTTTCAAAGGGGTTGCTTGAGTATGCCCATAGAAATGACCCACTTTTTCTTGTTTACCCTTGCCCTTTATGTTTCCCCAATCCTACCAAAGAAGTTGGAGATGGAATGTGGAGAAGAGGCTGGCTGCTAAGTCCACTGGACAGAGGTGCACACACAAGTATGGGGTCCGGGGTAGAGGACTGCCACTTTACTACACACACACATACATACACACACACACACACACACACACGCATTTCCCCCCTTCCCTCTCCCCCGATTCCTCTAAGTACCTACTGTGGGACTCGCAGGCCTAGACAACTTTCTGTGAGTCTCATTTGCCACCTGGACATTTTCTGTCTTTAGGACCCTGTGCTGTAGCTTGCCTCCTGCAGTGGCAGTCCTTGCTGGACTTGAACTTGGGGATGGAGAAAGTGCAAGAGCATAGATATGGTTCACCTAACAGGATAGGGAACAGAAAGTTGACAACCTTGCTAGAACCTGAACCCAGGCAGAGTCTCTGTGTACTTGACATGTGCTTTCTCTTCCAGAGTTCTGAAGACATCCGGTGCAAATGCATTTGTCCACCTTATAGAAACATCAGTGGGCACATTTATAACCAGAATGTGTCCCAGAAGGACTGGTAAGGCATTACACACAGGCCCCTGGCTGCTATACCCAGCTGAAGTTATGGGTGTTTACTAGAGTTCTTGGACCCTGGAGGATAAGCATGCTCTCCCATTCCTATGGAGAGCCTTTCAAAGGAATAATTATTCATGTCACAGAACCAATTTCATAGTTGTCAACTGTCTGTGGAAACAGGACCCAGGTGTCTTGAATTCCAGCTGGGTGGTCCCTGGCTAGAGGAGCGGATTTTGTTGTTTTGCTTTGAATATTGGTCTTTAGTGATGCATACAGAATGGTAGTAGAGAAATTGGGAGAGGTAGGTATTCTGACCACATACTGTAGGATACCTAATGCTTTTGCAAAGCTGTTACATGTGATATTCTGTGCCAGTCTCATAGCATCCTTGTAAGGTAGGTGGGATGGATTTTGCTCCCATTTTATAATAGCAGAGACAGAGGCCCAAAGAAATAATTTAGAGTCTTGAATTCATTTCTGGGTACCTCACTTTTAAAAAGAGAAGAATAACCCAGAATTCATTCAGAGAAAGGAGACTAGTGCGGTGAAGGGAAGTTTGAACACGTTGTCCTGGAAGGAATGGCTTAAGGAAGCAAGGAGAGCCTAAAGAGGAGAGGACTTGGGGGCGCACGATGATTGATTAAGAGCTGGAATGTTATGGGAAGTGAGACCTGTGGGAGCAGGTACTGGTGGGGATCAGTTACGTTCAGTGGGGTTTCGTGGTATAGAGTTGGAGCCAAAGCTTCAGGGAAGCTGACTTAAGCATGAGTTGAGGGAGCATTTCTAATCTAGGCAGTTTTGGGAGTCAGGAATCTCCGTGCTTGGAGGGCCCCGAGCACAGATGGGCTGAGGTCACTATAGAAGAGATCAACATCAGTTGAGGGGTCCGGGTCAGTGCTGCCTCTCCTGCTTTCTCAAAGCAGATGAGCTTTGAGAAAATACAGATTCCCGGTACCACCACCACCCCCCGATTTTGATTGTTCAAATACGGAGTGAGGGTGGAGGGAAGAAGTAACCTGTCTTTCCTTTGGTGCTTAGGACGCAGTTGATCCAGAGCAACACTCGAGAATTTTGAAACTAGTTGAATTTCCAATTCTGAGACTGTCTCGTTTTCTGAGAGGCAGTCTAGTTAGACAGACTCTGTGTTCAACCTTCCTGACTTCAAATTTAGCCTAGCTGATTATTAATTGTGTGACAAATTACTTAGTCTCCACTGCACTTTGATTTCCTTACTGTAAATAGTGGCAGTATTTTGAGTGTTAAGTATGTATGTGTTTGTGTGTGTGTTGTGCATGTGTGTGCACAGGTAAGTAACTATAGCACTTAGAAAAATACCTGGCACATAGTGCTTATATAAATGTTAGCTGATATTAATGTATATTATCATGCCTTACTGGTGGCCACATAGATAGTCATGGTCAAACTTACACCACAGACTGAGAAAACGGGCTCCTCCTGAAGCACTAGCCTTCTACTTAGGAGAAGTCCAGGTAACCCTCTTGTATCTTGTGGTTATAGTTCAAATAGCATCAGTAAAAACTTTGATGGGCTGTCTTAGCCCTTCACCAGATAACAAGGCTATATCCCACACTCCTTGTGCAGACAGACACTTGCAAATTTAGGAACACTCTCTCTGTCCTGGAGCTGTAGATGGCCTGAAAACCCAAGGTTGGATGCCTGCAGAGGACGGAGTCCTGTCTAGACCTCTCAGGCTATAGTTTATCTCCTTCTTCCCCTTAGAAGTCAGAATTAAGGGGCTGCCTAATGAATAGCCTTACATCAGGACCCTCAGGGCAGCTCCATTAAGGGTGGTGGGTGAGGTTGGAGGAGAGACTCTAGGATTCTAGGACCCAGTGACACTGACCTTGACTGGGAGTCATCATGTGCTTGCCTGGAGCCTCTTAAGGGTAGGGTGGGGCCTTAACATTATTCTGAGTACCTCAGCGCTAGGGCTACAGGAGGCCAGTTTGAGTGGGTCTTCTAGTCTCTGCCACGTTTTCACTTTGCTCTCACGTTGGTCCACTGCTAAAGAACACTTGCACCCTTCCCCTTGGTTGTGCAGAGTAAAGCCAGAATCATCTGAGATGCGGTCCTCAGGTTTAATGGCCAAGCCATGTATGTTTCTATGTTTACTGGTATCCTGCCATCTAGTGTTGAGAGTTTATAACTGTATGCGCAAAAAAGGCAGAAACCCCAATTTTGCCCCATTGGTGGGTCTGGCAAGGAGATGTGTTATTAGAGACACTCCCAGAGCAGGAAGGCACTTAATAAGTTGGCTAGTTCCTTGCCTTTCAGACTTGTTAAAATAGAACTTCTCTGCAAACAAAATCAATTTTAGAAACAAAATCTATAAACCATAAAGTCGGAATTGCTCTGGCTGAGAGGGAAGTGTCCCTCGGCCCCTCCCTGACTACCACCCCACCGTACAGTGGTTCCCATGGGTCCCAAAAGAGTACAGTTTGGAAGACACTGACCAAGTTCAGTCTCCATTTGTAAATGAGTAAACCGAGGCCTGGAGAAGTTAAATAAATTGCCCACTATCATGGGAGAGTTGGAGACAGCAGAAGTATTTCAGCTCCTTATTGCTGTTTCCCTGGGTAGCAGGATCCCACAGTGAAGAACTCAGGTCGCCCTTCCAAACTGCCCCTGACACATTGGCCTTGTGAGAAATCCATAAATCCCACTGCAGTACTGGTATGACCTAGACCCAAGACCCAGTGTAGCTCAGGTAAGGGAGGAATCTGGAGGCTTGTAGAGACTTCCTGGAGAAGGGAAGATGGCATTCCCTCTGGACAGGAATGACAGCCAAGCACCCTGGGTAACCCTGGCCTTGCCCCTCAACCCCTCCCTCCCAGAGGAAACAGCGTGCAAGGCCTGAAAGCAGTACTTTCAGTTACAACAGGGGAGACCTGCTCACAGCAGGGAGTAAGTAACATGTTGGACACAGAGATGGAACTGGATCATGAAAGGTTTAGATAAACTCTTGTATGCTACGTATGGATTTTTAGAAGAACAGAGTCTTTTAGAGCACATCCCATTCTTACTCCAACACACGATCTTTGTCTCACACACCCTTGATGCTTCTGCCAGAAACCCAGCCTTATAGCTCAGAAGGGAGCTGTGCTTGACTCTTGCAGGACACCGGTCAGAGCTGGAAGGGCTTTTTAAAGATTATCTGGTATAACTGCTTTATCTCACAGAGAAGAGGACAGGCCCAGGATATGAACACTTGGTGGCAGAGCCAGGACAGAGCCCAGGTGCACTGCAGCATGACACCTGCTTCACCTCTGCACACCCCCGAGGAGTTTGGTTTTTTCCATTGGTAGTGATGAAGTGCGTTCTGTAGAGTTTTTTGTTTTCTCAGTGTGGTCCATGAACCCAACACATTGGAACCATGTTGATCTGAGGAAGGCTGGGAATGAGAGGCTTGAGGCAAGCCAGGTACCAGCCCAGGCCCCACTGAGGCTGAGTCAGAAGTAAAGACATGTGGCTGAGGATCTGGATTTGGTTTCTGGCCTCACCACCACTGTGGAGATGCCACTTTGCCTCCTAAGCCTCTTTCCCTGTTTTTAGATGTGGAACCTAAGATCTTTATCCCACCTTATGCAAGAGTGCTGTTAGATGAAAGTGGGCTAAGTGGGTCTACTCCTCCTTTAGGAATCACGTAGTTACTGAGCCTGCTCTGGCGAGCACCCAGCTAGGCACTGGGAATATGGAGATGTATAAGACATAACCCTGTGTTCGAGGAACGTACACCTCCTGGGGAGACAGCACAAATAAAGATTGGATTCCAGTGCAGTGCATTGGCGGGGGGTTGGGAGGAGCTGGCTGTTGGGCACAGGCAGCTGAGCTGAGAGTTAAAAGATGAGACGAGGTGGCAAAGCCATGCCCTCCTGGTGAGAGTGTGAGTGTGGCTCATTCAGAGAGCAGCCTGGCAGATCCATGTGACTGGAGGATGGGAAAGTGGGTGAGGGAGGCGTAGCAGGAGATGGAACTGTAGTGACGTGGGTTGGGACCCCCGGCAGAGCAATTGAGTTAGCACTGGCCCTAGGGGCTCTGTGGAGGCACTGACCCGGCCTAAGCTGGGGAATGACATGACCAGAGTTGCATTCTGGAAGACTACTCGGCTGCCGTGGGAAGGTAGTACATGTTAGAAAGGCCAAACTAGAGGCGGGAGGGCAGTGCGGAGGCTGGCGCAGTTGTCCAAGGAAGATAGGATGAGGGCCGGAGCTAAGACACAGCAGTGGGAAATAATAAAAGAGATGAATTCTAGGAATTTTTAGGGAAGTAAAATCACTGGCCTTTGGTGGATTCATAGATGAGAGGAAGGCAGTGTCAAAGATGATTTCCAGGGTTTGACCCAGACAGTGAAGTGGATGGTAGAGGTGTTCTCTGCCATTGCGAATGGGGAGCCAGTTTGCAGGAGTAGGGAGTGGGGGGCAAAGGGTGTGCAGGGGCGGGTGTAGGGTTCATAGTCTCTATGGGACATGCAAATAGTGACTCCTGTAGCTTATAGAGGAGAGTGGCCCTGGCTGGAGATTCTGATCTAAGATCCGTCAGCTTCTGAGTTAAACCTTTGGGACAGATGAGCACATGCAGGGAAAACATAGCATGAGATGAGGAAGGCGGCTGGGGGTAGAACTCTGGGAACGCTGATGGTTTTGGTGCCAACACTGTAGGCAGTTTGGAGAGCTGGTTTTGATGTGCAAGGGGCATGGGCTATGAGGCTTTGGGTTGGGAAGGGATTCTGCCAGTCTGATCCTTTATAAGCCCTCAGTCCTCTCTGGGAGCACCCTTCACTTTTTCCCAGTCCCTACCTCTCAGCTCCCCTGGCTGCCTGCTTCCCTGGTCTTGAGGCTTTAAGATCTGGTGGCCCTGCCTCGACAGCCCTGTCTGTGTCTGTTGCAGCAACTGCCTGCACGTGGTGGAGCCCATGCCGGTGCCTGGCCATGACGTGGAGGCCTACTGCCTGCTGTGCGAGTGCAGGTACGAGGAGCGCAGCACCACCACCATCAAGGTAATGCCAGGGTGTCAGGAAGCCAGTGGGATTCCCACACTCCATTCCCCAATCGCGGGCTGGCCTACACCCACAGTTTTTCACTTTATTCTGGAACATTCCAACGGCTATGAGACTGGCTTCTAGGCTGGCCTAGTACAGACACCGGGACCCACATCCCACACCTTCCTGGAGCCAGCTCCCTTCTCTGCTCTCTTTCCAGTGGTTCCCATTACCGTGAGAGGGGAGAGCCCTGGGAGAGCTGCTGGAGACTCCCTTTTCCCTGCATTCTTTCCAGTTTTTTTCCTTCCTCTCCCTTCTTCTGTTCATCCAGTAAATCTCTTTTCGGTGCCTGCTATATTCTGGGCAGATGCTGCCAATGGGGAGGTTGGCCTGCCCTCCTGGAGCTTAGTCTAATTAAGCTTCCAACGTGACTAAGCTCCTGTAAAAAGCGTCAGAGCTGTGAACTAGGGCTGGGTATTGGGTGCTGGGAGAACATCAGATTGGTCCTTTTGTGTTTTCCTGAACCTTGTTCTCATTGATTATTTGGGTGAATTCAGGAAAGAGATGATAGACACAGTCACCACCATAGACGTCACGAGGTCTCTATTCATTCCTCTGCACCAGGCAGAACTTCCTGTGTCTTCTGGAGGCTGTGAAGCTGCCCTAGCAGAGACCCCCATGACCCCCAGCCTTCTAGTGCAGCTTCCTAGTCCAGGTTCTAACAATCCTGGGCCAGGCGCCTGGCACACACAGTGCTCACTGATTACATAGTCATTTCTCTCTCTTTTTTTTTTGTTTTTTAGAGACTGGGTCTGACTCTGTTGCCTATGCTGTAGTCCAGTGGCATGATCACAGCTCACTGCAGCTCTGACCTCCCAGGCCCATGCAACCCTCCCACCTCAGCCTCCTGATTAGCTAGGACCACAGGTGTACATCCCCACACCCAGCTAATTTTTAAAATTTTTTGTAGAGACAGGGTCTCACTATCTTGCCCAGGCTGGTCTCAAACTCCTGGCCTCGAGCAATGCTCCAGTCTTGGCTTCCCGAAGTGCTGGGATTGTAGGTGTGAGCCACCATGCCCGGCCTAATGTAGCCCTTTCTGTTCCAGTTTGTAGCTTTTTTCTGCTTATCCTTTGAAGAGTCTATAGATAGCATTGGAAAATAATTCTCATATTTAAAGGCACTGCTGGGTCCTCTATCAGGTTTCTCCTTTTGAGGCACATTTTGGGGGGCGGTGGTCTTCACTGCTGTCCTTCCTGCTTGTTCCAGGGAGCCCTGTGCTGTAGCTCCTCTGTGTTCTCACCACTCAGGGACAAAGCAGCTGTCTGTCCTCCACCGCTCCCAGCCAGTGCCCTGTGCAGACTCCACTCCTTTCATCCTCCCACCTGAGGCAGCCCCTCCTGCAACTGTCTTTCTCCTTCTCTGAACTTGCTCCAGTGGGCCTCACCCTCCAGGGACCAGATGCCTGAGACCTGAAATTCAGAGCCAGATGTCGCTGCTGCTCCCTGTTTGGCCGGGAGGGAACTTCCTGGCATGGGGACCTCATCAGATACAACTTCCTAATCCCTCCCATTTCCCCCGGTCCTCCTGCCTAGGAGGCGCCCCTCAGCTTCAGCCTATTGAAGACCCAGCCTCTGTTCTCCTTCCGCCTTCCTGGGGTACAGGTGAGGTCTGATTATTTGACCTGTTTAATCAGGCGTGAACACGGTGCCCCAATCAGGTGGGACATTGGTCCAGTGGAACTTGGCTGTTGGCTGAGCTGGGCACCCAGCTTGAAAGTCCTGAGGTTCTTTTTTTCACTCTTGTTCACAGTGTAGGCAGGGCAGGGCTGAGATCAGAAGCCAGCAATGGCCAGGCACTGTGGAATTAGGAAAGGCATTTGAGAGGGAGTCAGCAAGTCTGGGTTCGAGTCACACCTCCACCGTCTGGTAGCCTTGGGATCCCGGGTGACCTAGCCCAGCAGTTCTCAGTCAGATGATTGCAGCCCCACAGAGGGCATTTAGAAGCGGATGAAGGTGCTTTTGTGGTCCCAATAACCGAGGTGTGTTACCAACACCGTTACAGGGATGTCCCACCCAAAATCCCAGAGCACCCACATTGAGAAACATTGAATTTGCCTCATTAAATCTATCTTTTCTGTAAAAGCAAAATGACTCCAGCTTGTGAAGCACTGTGTATGTAAGAGATTCATGGAATTGTTGTTCTAGCCCTGGCTTTCCCCTCCCTGCAGAGGGGCTGGTGGGAGGGCAGGCATGACCTCCACCCCCAGTGCACGCCTTCTTACCAGCCCGAGCCACTCTGCGCAGGGGCGTGCTGTGAGTGGGCCAGCGTGCCCCATCCGTCCTGCTCTCCACAGGAGCAATGAGCCCCCAGCCCAGGCTTATTCTTCCTGGTCTCAGCTTTCCAGCCTCTCCACAGCCTGTTCTTCCTTGCTCTTAGTTTCTGATTGCTTCACCTTTCATCATGGACTCTTCTACAGCCAGGGAGGCCCTGTGTTCCCACCTCCACCCCACGAGCCTCTCAGGGCATCAGGCTCCGGACTTCTTCCTTTATCATCTGCCTGCTGCCCTGATGCCTGCTGTGCAGATTCCCTCAAGTTAGGACAGAGCACTTCCTCTGTGGAGTAGGCCCTCCCTTTCCTTTCGGGGCATGCTTTCCCTCTGAGCCCACGTTGCCTCCAAGTCCTTTCTTAGTGCACCACTCGAGGAGTCACTGCCAGCCAGGCACAGATGGCCCAAGACTAGAAACGGATTTCTAGCCCTGGCCCCAGATGCTGATTCACAGGCACGCTGGTCTCTTCCTTAGGTCATCATTGTCATCTACCTGTCTGTGGTGGGTGCCCTCTTGCTCTACATGGCCTTCCTGATGCTGGTGGACCCTCTGATCCGAAAGCCAGATGCATACACTGAGCAACTACACAATGAGGAGGAGAATGAGGTAAGAGGGCTTTGAGTGCCCAGGCCCTGGGCCCCTGCATGTGTGTCCCCAGGGCAAAACCCAGAGGAGCGCCACCTAGGTCTAGGGCCCACCTCCCCCACATGCTTCAAGTTGCTTTTCTGGTCAATGTCCTACACATCACCCAGACTCAGCAGGGACCTGCCCTTTGCCCTTCCAGATGAAGCAGGACACCAGGCATCAGGCAGGCTCCATGCACAAGCTGGGGGAGCCATGTCATCCTGCTGCACTGTGCTTCCCGGCAGAGGGGGTGCAGCCAACCAGGGCCAGTCACACATAGATACACATAATATTCCCCGCGTGCTCAGACATGGGTGACAAGCTGCTGGTGGACTGGAAGGCGGCAAGTTAATTTGTTTGTCAAGTGATTCCACAAACATCTGTTGAACACTTGCTTAATGCAAACCAGAGCTCCAGGGTCTGGAGGGAAATGTAGGATTTCCAGAGCGGAAGAGGAATGAGGTAGACAGTGGTGCCGGGTGGGGGACGTGTGAGGAAGTTTGAGCGTTGCAAGCATAGGGTAGGGGTGTTTGCACAGTGGCAGAGAGAGCTGGCCAGTAGATTAAGTCCACATTATTAAAGGCCCTAAATGTCAAGCTAAGGGGGCTTGGCTTTATCTGATATGGAAAGTGGGGAACCACTGACCCCAGATGGCCTGCAAGGCCTCCAGGAGCTCATGCAGTGGTGGGGAGCTGACGGGGCTTGGACCAGGCCCAGCACAGTTAGCAAGCGCTCTCATCGTCTTCCCATTCATCCTCATACTAAAAAGTTGTGGACACCGTGGCGAGGAAACCCAGGGGGACAGGAGGGCTCAGGTGAAGGACTCTTGGTGCGAGTGAGACGTGGTGCGCCAACATGTTGAGCAGAGTTGTGATGAGCCCCGCACTCCCCAGGTGGTCTAGGGGAATCTTGCCCGTGTGAGCCCTGTGTGCCTCGGGCTCCCCACTTACGCGCTCATGTACCAGCTAGCTGGGCGCACGAGACAGCAGAGCGGGCTGCTTAGAGGCGTGGAGCTGAGGCAGACGGGGTTGGCTGCTGCTTCCACTCTGAGATCTGTCCCCAGGGCCTTGCTGCTGGAAGATACTCCTGTTTATTGACTGATGGAGGGATGCACTGAGTGAACTCATGCATATGCATAAGGAATATCTAGTGGGGAAGCGCCTCAGCTAGGCCTCGGAGAATTAGTTGAAGAAACTGAGAGTTATTTAGCTTAAAGGAAAAAAGACAACTAAAGGAGACACTTAATAGCTGCCTTCAGAAGTTTGTAGGAGACAGCTCAGCCTCACCTAGGGACAGAGAGATTTCACACAGTATAAGGAGGAAGCTAGGAGTCTTGCTGTAGACAGCGTGGTCTAACTATGGGGTAGGTGGGCCGGGCTCCCTTGCAAGACCATGAGCTAGTTCCTCACCAAAAAGAGGACCCCGGGGCTCAAGTGTAAGTGCGAAGCTGCCTGGGTGACGTGGGTCTGGGCCAGCATGAAGAGTGAAGAGAAGGGCAGGTCAGGGAGGGAGCCTGCCTGCTCTCCAGGCTGTGTCGCCCCACCCTGCGCACATGCCTGGACTGCTCCCAGTTTGCCCTCAGCCTCCTGCTGACATGAGTTTGGCCGAAGGTGGAGCAGAGGGGATGAACCTCGCCCCATTGGAGCTGGGGCCTGGGAGGTGGTGGCACTGGCAGTTGGGTGGTCTGTGTTCAAGAGGAAACCTCGTGTGCCTACCTGGTTATTAATGTAGAGTAATAGCAGCTCTGATAGGGGAGGAGCATTGCTAATAAACACTCAGCGATTAGGGGTAATGTGGTAATTGCAGTCCTGGCTGGGGTAGTAATTGAGAGATGCAGCCCAATGATTTCCGTGGAATGCATGGCTCTGGGGCATGGCCTTGTTGTGTCTCCTGCCGTCCTAGCCAGGGAGCCGGAGGGAGGGCAGCTTGGGGAGGGCAGCTTACCGTCCCTGGGTATGAACCCAGGTCTTTCTTACCCCCAGGAGACCTGGGGTGCTCCTCATTTGAAGACTGTTCGTATGAGCCTTGGGAGGAAGAAGGGGTTAGATTGGCTAACCTGTAGCAGGACTGCCTGAGAGGACAGTAGGCTGTGACAGGCTGCAGCACGTAGAAGCTGGCGAGCCATGCTCCCTGCTGTGGGAGAGATTCCGGCCCTGGGATGGACAGGATGACATGCCCTCACCTCTCACCCAAGATTCTAAAAGGTCATAAAAGGTTGTGTTTAATCTCTTTGATACCCTAACCTAGGGTGCAGCCAACTCTGGGTGGTTTTGGCCTGGGGCAGGTAGATCTCATTGGGTGCTCTTGGCTGGGTAAGGAAGTGCCCTCAGTCCCATTCTTTGGCATCACCTCTCCATCCCCTCACCTCCTGTGATTCTGTGTGGTCTGGAGGTCACAGATGTCTGTGGTTCAGCAACCCTGCTTTTCTGAGTGTATTCAGAAAACCTGCAGGTGGCACGGTGTTGAGATTTACACAGACCTTATGTCTGCCCTCAGGGATTTAAGGCCCAAGATGGCCAAAAGCAGGTGAACCAGCAGGAAACATAAAGGCTGGCAGTAAAATTTGGCTTCATAAGATGGATGGTCAGCTGAAGAAGCCAGATGCCTTGGGAGGCCCCTCTTTACTAGACAAGGGGTCAGAAAGTTACCCTTCCCTTTGTGTTAGTCTGGGAAGGAAGGCTTCCTGGCAGAGGGGGATTTTCAGTGCCAGCTCAGGGTGGATGGGAGAGTGACCGCTGAACTGCAGGGAGGATGAACAAGGCATTGGGGCTAGACAGAACCCAAGGAACTTGCCTTTACAGAGACCGGGGCCCTAGTCCTGGGCGACGAGGGATAATCTACTGCCCCTCTCAGTGCACAGAGGAAAGGATTGTGGGGAAACATGGGGCTGGGGGGCAGGCACTCAGAGGAGCGGCAGCAGTACCTAGGCTGTGCCATGTCTCTGGGTTTCACCCCAAGAGGAGCAAAGTCAGGACATGGCCTCTTGGGGTTCCTTGAAAGCTCGCCTAGGCCTGTACAACTCGGTGACTTTAGAAGGAAAAGTCTCCCTAGGCTCCAGGAACTTTCAGGCCCTATGCCCCAGGAGTTTGGGACCCAGTTAGGGGTGAGATCTGGACGTCAGGGCATTTTTTCAGGTTAGGGACCCCTTGGCTCCCTCTTCCCAATTCTTGTGGCCAGGAGCTCTCCTGCCCTGGAGGTAAAGAACTGGAAGAGGAAGGGGAGGCCTCCCCCTCAGCCTCAGCCCCGTTCATGGAGGGAGATGAAAGCCTGTCATATTCCCTTTGAAAGCGCTGGCAGAGCCTCAGTGGGCCCTGATTGCTGGGCGCTGCCTCCCCTGGGATTCCAGCAGCATTAGGCGTAATCCCTGGGCTCAGACGTCCTTTGAAAGGAGGAAGCAAGCATGTTTGCTGGGGCAGAAACGGCAAACAGAGCTGTTTTAGATGTGCAGGTTGGGCCCTCTTTGAAGAGACACACATGGTTTCTCTGAGGCTGGGGATGTCGCTGCTCACAGCATGGGCCCAAGCTCTGAAGAGGTCTTCAAAGTGCTCACCCTCCTGGGGCAGTGGGTAGCGTTCTGGGCCCCGTTTGGGAGAGAGTATACAGGGAAATCAAGGAAAGGCGATGATGACGATGGGAACTGGAAATGCAGGCACTGGGGAGAAGACTCGGGCCCCTGGGGAGCAGTCTCCCCTCCTGTCCGCACATGGGTGGCAGCTGTGTGCTGAGGACCCCAGCCCTGGGGAGCTGACAGTGAAACACGGAACAGACACACTGATGAGGGCAGTCCAGACTGCCGCCTCCCCTGAGGGCAGAATAGAAAGGTGTGCAATTCAACAGGTGCTTCTAGAGCCTCCAGTGGGGCAGCACAGCATTGTGGTTAATCACAGTCTTGGGAGGGGCCGAGCCCTGCCATTTACTATCCGTGGTGCTAACCTCCTGATTTAGTTTTCTAAATCTGGAATAGACATAATCATTTTTACCTCAGCATAACTGTTGTGAACGTGTGCGTGGAAGCTTTACAAGTATTTGCTCATCCTTAAGAATGTGCTATTTCAATCAGGTGTTAACACTTAAGTAGCATCATGATTGCTGGAGGGAAGCCTGAGGGGCAGAGTGCACAAGGGCCTGAGTGAGGCGATCACCGCGGGTAGAGAGAGGACGCATGGACCAGTGTAGCCAGAGGCTTGGGGGTAAGTGGGGAGGTGAGGCTGGGAGTGCCCTTGAATGTCATGCTCAGCAGGGTTTTACTTGTGAGCAGCTGGGTCCCAGCTGGGGTTTTTGAGCAGGGAAACAGCATGAGTTGGTGTGTCGTAGGAAGGTGGCTCCGGCCACAGCATGCAGGGGTCAGGGAGAGCCTCGCTGCAGAGATGCAGTGGGACGCAGCAACAGCAGCAAGGATTTGGGTCAAACGTGGAAAACTCAGGCTGTATAGTCCTCTTGCTAAAGGGCTTTGCACTAGGGCCACGCTTTGCTGAGTGGCTGGTAAGTGACGACACCGCCTGGTCACGTTCCTGTGTCTAGGATTAGGGAGGAGGGAGGAGGAGCAGCCAGAGAGGGGAGAGCCGCCTGAGGTGGGGTTCTCACTCTCCCTGTGTTCTTGTCAGGTCAGACTTGGGCCAAGTCCAGTGCCAGCTCAGAACCAGTGCTTCTGGGCAGGCTGAAGAGGGTTTCATCTGGGACGGCCTGAAGGGCTCAGGGCTAGTTTGATCAGCTCGGGCTTATCCACACAGCTACTTGGGTCCTCCCAGTGCTGGAGAGGAGGGCCTCGCTTGATGTCCTGAGCACTGGTTCCTTTAGAGGTGCTTTGTTCTTGCTCTAGCTGTGGGGAAAGATACCAACCTGTCTCTTTGGTTGTCCATGCTGGCTCCCTCTTAGGAGAAACCAACTAAAGAAGGATCCAGCTGGGTCCTAGGATAAGAGATATACATACATAGGTTCAAATTCTGCCTTGGCCACTAAACAGCCATGCAGCCTTGGGCAGCAAGATGATTCACCTTTCAGAGCCTCAGTTTCTGCAGCTACAATATGGGATGGTTTTACCCATTTGCCAGTGTTGTAAGCCTGGGAATAATCTGTGTAAAGTGCCTAGCAGAGCACCTGGCACGTAGTGGCACTTGTCACAGTCACACTGGTCTGGTCCCCCTGGGGACCTCCTGGGAACCCATCCATGTCCAAGCTCTTTCCCCTGATTGGGAGGGGCTCCACCCGCCTCCCCTCCTAACTGCCCTTCTGTTCCCAAGTTAACCGGAGGCCCGGACTCAGGGCGAGAGGGGAGGAGTTGGTGGTATTTCTCCCACTGCTACCCACCATACTTGCTGCAGAGCAAGCAAGGATGAGGCCTCACTCTGGGCTGTCTCTGAAACAGATGTGGAGTCTTTAATACCTTTTAATCAGACTATTAGCGATGGAAACACAGCCTCTCAGAGGCAGCTTTCCCCCACTTAGGAGCTGTTTGTTAAGACTTTACATGAAGGGAAAACAAATGATACTGTGGTAATGTGGTGAATTTCAGCATGTTCCCTTAATGCTCTGCTCTGGGCTCTCCCTGGCTTCCCCTTCTCAAGACGCTCCGCTGAGATGCAGAGCAGTGGAAGAAGGGCAGGGCTAAAACTGCCCCACCCTCCCAAGCCTAGCACCCCACCCCACACACACTGGAGCCCTGTCATGAGGAGGACGGTCCCAGAAGAGATGAGAGTGGGAATGGAAAGAAGAAGAGAAGGCAGTCCAGCCCCCAGAGCCAGGATGACCAAGTCCCGGTGGGCCCATAGCTTCCCAGATGGGTCTTTAGTGTCCACCTCATGTAGACGGCCACACAGAGGCAGGATTGGGTGGAGGCTTGGTCTTAGCACTGTGGCCAGCTCAGTCAGCACAGTGAACAGGGAAGGCATGGAACTGGAAGGAGGGGCAGCAGCACAGCAGTTCTCACAGGCTTTCTCCTGGCAGCAGGCTGCCAGCCTTACTGCCTACTGGCTTCCAGAGCTAGGCTCTGATATCAGCCATCACTCCTAGGGAAGAAAGAAACCAAAGGTCTCTTGAGCCCTAGCTCTGTGACAGCCAGGGTAGTAAGTGCTTTATATGTGTGTTGTTTAACTTTGCCATACAATCTACTAATCTTAAACCAGTGTATTTCAAACAAGCCATTAGGTCATGAAATGAATTTTGTGAGTCATGACCAGGATTTTTTAAAAAATAAAATGGAACAGAGCAAAGAATATCAGAATGCATTACACTTAAGTATTGTTTTATGAAACTTCCTTTTCACTGTGTGTGTGTGTGTGTGTGTGTGGTAATATTCGATAACTATAATTCCTAAAGACTGTAGAACAGAAAAAAGTCTCAATGACTACATTTATTATATTAAATTGAAGCTTGGAGAAATAAAGTAACTTGTTTAGGGACACACTGCCTCAGAAGTGACTGAGGCCATGGCTCCTTCCCAGCCCCCGCTGTGGTCCTGTAGGTCCACCTGGGACACGGGCCTAGGGGAGTCTGAGGCTAGAAGGGGGCAGGTGGTCCCCAGCCCAGGAACAGAACCCAGGAGTCCTAATTCCAAGCTCAGTGTGCCCCCTGCCTGACATGGCCACACCTGCCTTTCAGGTGTTGCCTGAGCCTCACCTAGCCTGGCACAGGCAGCCTTCCTCAGGACCTGGACAGGAGGCTCCCAGAAGGCAGTGTCCATCTCTAATGCAGCTTAGAGATGAGCGCTCACAAGATGAAGTCCTCAGAGCTCCAAGGGGATGATGATGAATCCTCTCCCAGCCTCCTCACTGCCAGCTCATTCTCTGTCCACCCTACCCTCACCTCACCACCCCCCTTCGCCCCAGCCTAGCAGCTGCATGGTGACAGAAGCCGTGCCAGCTTGGGGCATTAGAAGCAAAGTTGCATTTACTGGGCGGCTCTGGGCTTAGAGAAGTGCACTAATCCCTTAAGAGATGTGTGGCAGGAGATGAGAGGCAGGGAAAGCTAGGGAGGAAATCCCCACGGGGGTGCAGGCCTGGCCCTCAGCTCTAATTCTCTCCAAAGATCAGGTTCAGGTCCTGCAGGAAATGCAGAGGCTCCGGAGCTTCAGAGGCAGAGAAGTGGTAATTAGGGGAGGATGCTTTTGACGGCAGCAATAGTTCTGAAAGCAAAGGGGAAGGGGATCAGCAGAGGCAGATAGGGAGGAAGCGGAGCTGTCCTTGGCTATCAAAGGAGGGAATGGGCCAGAGTGGGCTCTGCAAAGGGAATGCTGGGGCGGCTCTGAATTTCCATCCCTGCCAGACTCCCTGAGTGATGTCACATCCCTCTTTCCCAGAGAAACTAAGATCCCGTGGATCTGGATCTGTGCAGACTCCTCAGTAGGCACCTTCTCCCATCTGGAGCAGACTGCTGCCGTCTCAGGGTAGCCAGACCCTAGCCCCTGGGCCTTCCTCCCACTCCCTGGGCAATGGCAGGGAGGGCAAGGGAGTTCTCTAGCCTAGTACTAGCCCTGGGGGCACCTCGGTGCATTCCTGAAACAACAAATGTCATCAAATCCTCTGCCTAAGTGAGGTCTTGAAGCCTATGCTTAGCATCCTTCTTGAGAGTTAGAAATAGTGGAATGGAGCATGATGAGGGGTGAGTTCAGGCTGGGAACCTCACTTGAGCTATCTGTGTGGCAGTAACTGGGGCCCCGGCAGAGCCTACTCTTCCTGGAGTGCTTGCTTTCCCAGGCCCCAGGGAGGGGCAGGGACCCCATCCTGCAGATGCTACAGACACTAAGGCCTCCAGCAGACCTGGCACACTGTTCAGCTCTGCAGATGACAAGGCAAGGTCCTCAGCCCACAGCACTTGGGGAGGCCCAGCCTCCCAGTCTGGGGAAGGTCAGGCTTTGGGGTTGCTCATGGGTCGTTCTTTCCATGTCAGACTTTCAGGACCCGAGACCCTTCTGGCTTGCCGTGCCAGATCTTCTCTTTTTTTCTTCCCACTACAGGATGCTCGCTCTATGGCAGCAGCTGCTGCATCCCTCGGGGGACCCCGAGCAAACACAGTCCTGGAGCGCGTGGAAGGTGCCCAGCAGCGGTGGAAGCTGCAGGTGCAGGAGCAGCGGAAGACAGTCTTCGATCGGCACAAGATGCTCAGCTAGATGGGCTCATATGGTTGGGTCAAGGCCTCAACACCATGGCTGCCAGCTTCCAGGCTGGACAAAGCGGGGGGCTGCTTCTCCCTTCCCTCGGTGCCAGTTTTCCCTTTAAGAGCCCGTGGCATTTTTCCTTCTCCTCCCTAACTTTAGAAATATTGTACTTGACTATTTTGATTAGGGAAGAGGGATGCGGTCTCCGATCTCTGTTGTCTCCTTGGGTCTTTGGGGTGGAAGGGAGGGGAAAGGCAGGCCCGAAGGGAATGCAGACATTTGAGGCGGCCTCAGGCGTGGATGCAGTCTCTCTCTCCTGGCTCCACTCTTGCCGCCTTCCAGCTCCGAGTCTTGGGAATGTTGTTACCCTTGGAAGATAAAGCTGGGTCTTCAGGAACTCAGTGTCTGGGAGGAAAGCATGGCCCAGCATTCAGCATGTGCTCCTTTCTGCAGTGGTTCTTATCACCACCTCCCTCTGAGCCCCAGCTCCAGCCCTGAGGACAGCTCTGATGGGAGAGCTGGGCCCCCTGAGCCCACTGTGGTCTTCAGGACGCACCTGGAAGCTGGTGTTCCCTGTCCCCTGTGCACTCCTCCCATTGGGACATGGAGTGCCCTTGCATACTCTGCTGCCGGTCCCCTCACCCGCGCTTGAGGGGGCTGGGCAGTCCCTCCTCTCCCCAGTGTCCACAGTTGCTGAGCCAGATGGTTGGTTGGAACACGAGACTGGAGGCTGACCGTGGATCTGAACACCGCAGCCCCTGTCCTTGGGTCGCCTCTTGTCGCTGAACTTCGTTGTACCAGTGCATGGAGAGAAAATTTTGCCCTTCTCTTGTCTTAGAGTTGTGTGTAAATCAAGAAGCCATCATTAAATTGTTTTACTTCTCTCACTTGCTGGATTTTAAGAGATTTAGGGAACTAGGAATTTTTCACAAGTGACCTGGTAAATGTATCCCAGAGGGGACAGAGAGCATTGCGCTTGCTAGGTCCACACAGGCAGAGCCTTGGGAAGTCCAGGTGGCTGTGGCAGAGCCAACCATAGTGCACTCAGGCCAAGGCCACGGCTTGCTGGAAGTCCTCCTCACCTGATGAGGAAAGAGGTGGGTAGGCTGGGGCAAGGAGCATGGTGAACCGGCCCTTGGGAGTTATCCTGAGATTTTACTTGCTTCATGTTTGTGGGCGATTCCTCTGCAACTGAACAGTGCCTGATTCATCCTAATATCCTACAGACACAGTAAATAGTGCTCCCTGCAAAACCCTGACGTATCCCCAAATGAAAACCAATAGGTATCAGGAGAGGGGTGGGTGGGGGAAACCAGAAAACGAGCTGCCGGGTAGAAGAAAGTGCCAGCAGCTTCAACAGGGACATCCAGAGGAGCCCGGCACTGCACCAGCTCCAGTCTGGATGTGTGGTGCAGGGCACGGCCAAGACCCAGGCAAGGCATCTAGAGGGACCGAGCTGATCTGGTGTCCCCAGGGTTGTCCAAATAAACATGGATTAAGAACCTTTGTGTGGGCCCCCATGCTGGGTTTTTGGAGAGGGGTAGGAGGCAAGAGAACAACGTGGGGTGGGGGGTCAGTTTGCAGTAGTTTGTCGAAGTTCAGAGACAGAAGCGTAAAGGGGATGGGACTAGGGTGACCTGCAGATGGGGCTCCCAGGAGGAGCAGAGACTGGTTGGCATTGGAAACAAGAGACCCAGGTGAGAGAAGTGGATTGTGAGGTCCTGAGCAAGTCCACTTAAGAAGTTTGTGGTAGGGCTAGCAAAAGATAGATGTGCCCCCAAATGCAAGGCTGGGACAGGAGTTGGTACTGACAACATTTCTACTGGTTCTACTGGTTCATTTACTTGGCAGCTACTCAGCGCCTACCAGGGCCAAGTACTGCTGTGGAAGCGGCAGTGGGCTCTTTTATTCTTTCAGGATGGGGATGCCCTTATTTCAAGAGGCACACAAAAGCAGCGCTTTCCAAAGGTGGGCAGGTGGGTGTATTAACTTACCAAGGATAACCAGGCCAGAAATTGGTGCCTAACATTGCCAGGTCTCCCCTGTAAAACCACATGCCCTGGGGGAAGCCTTGAGTGCCACATTTCTCTGAGGCTTGGGTAAGTCCTGCAGATGGTTCAATCTGGCTTTGCTAGTTTTCAGGGCAACTGCTGTTAACTATAAATAAACCGAATTTATGTCCAGTACATGAACATTTATAAAAGATTAGGAGTGACTGTTCACTTTTCTAAGGGTTCAGCCAGTAACCAAACATCTCAATATGTCTCAACTTCACACACAAAACCCAATTTTCAGACGATGGCAGAGTACACTTCATCTCTCTGTGAATATGAAAGGACGGAGGTCCCCAGCAAGGGGCGAGTGCACTGCTGGACTGGTATCTGGAACAGAGATGAAGACCCCTGCAGTCAATGACGGAAAAGATCAGAAATGACATTCTTCACCCCGTCTCATATGATGTAAAAGGAACAGAACTTGGCCGGGTGCGGTGCCTCACACTTATAATCCCAGCACTTTGGGAGGTCAAGATGGGCAGATCACAAGGTCAAGAGATCGAGACCATCCTGGCCAACATGGCAAAACCCCGTCTCTACAAAAAATACAGAAATTAGCTGGGTGCGGTGGCACGTGTCTGTAGTCCCAGCTACTTGGGAGGCTGGGGCAGGAGACTCGCTTGAACCAGGGAGGTGGAGGTTGCAGTGAGCTGAGATTGTGCCACTGTACTCCAGCCTGGTGACAGAGCAAGACTCCGTCTCAAAAAAAAAAAAAAAAAAAAAGGAACAGAACTTGGTGCTGTGTTCAGAAATCCTGTCTTCCCTCAAACCCAGCAACCATGCTGTTCTGTAATAGATTGGTCCCACCTGGAAAAACAACTGGTTGGAGTTGGCCCTGGGAACCTGAGCCTTAGAATTGGTCTCCACAGTTAGAGGCCAGCACTCATCCCTCGTGTGGCTCAAAGGGAGGCTGATGGAGAGGCCAGCCTGCTTCCTCGTGGCCTTTCCTTCATTCCTCACCTAGCCCAACTCAGTCCTCCTCCTTCTCTCATTTCCTGGCATCCACTGTTACGCATCTGCCAGCAAAACCCCAACCCCACCCAGCCTGACTTCCCTGCTCCTCCCTGGGCAGCCCAGTGCTGCCACAGAGGCTGAGGGTGCCCCGGCAGGTGCATGGCCTCCACCCCCTCCCTTCCCCCATGAGGGCCAATAATGCTCCCGTGAGGCTCACTCTTGAGGCCACTAGGCAACCTTCCTGTCTCCTCATCTCCCTCCCCTAGAAAATCTTGCCTATGACTTCAAGAAAATGGAGTGATCTCTTAACTCAGCCCCATTGTTAAATCATTCTTCATTCATACTCATCCTGACTGCCTTTGCTACAGTCTTGGGGATAGCGTGTTCCTGTTCAAAGCCAACCGCCCACCCCATACTACATGGGATTGCCATCATTTCTCCAACCCCCAATACTGTCAGGGACCTCCATTTCTCCAATCCCCCCCTGCCCAGTACTGCCTGGGACCTCCATCATTTCTCCAACCTTACCCTATTTACTGGCCCTTCTCCTCAGCCTAGTTACATGCTGAAGTCTTTGTCCTAAGAACCCTCCAGGGGCTCCAGGTCCACCCCTGGCTACAGTGGAGTCTCCTCCCTGTCTCTGTGCACTCAGTCATTCACCCCCTGCCCCTGCCAGCTGACCTCGCCCTCCATGCTCCTCTGAAACTGCGCTCAGCAAGGTCACAGCGGGCTCTGGGAGCACCAGGCCCAGGGGGTGTCTTTGGTTCTTCTGGCCCTCTCTGCTATTTTGGTGGTGTTGATCCTCCCTCCATAACACTCATCACTTGGCTTCTGGGACCTGGCCTCTTGGGCCTTTCTGACTGTCCCTTCCTGTCCCCATGAATGTTGGCTCCCCAGGCTTCCATGCTCAGCCTACTTGGCTCAATCTAAAATTTGATTTCTAAGTACTCTCTTTGGAAGTTTATTCTGTTTTGCAGTTTCATGGTGTTTATTCAAACATCTCTATCTCTAGCCCTGCCCTAACCAGCCCCTGAGCTGCAGACTTACGTATCTGGCTCCCAGTTGGACTGTGCCCCTGAGCACCCCAGAGCCAAGATTAAACTCATCTTTGTCCTGAAACTGGCTTATTTTATATGTAATATATAAAAATATGACATATATTTATATATAATATATAAATTATAATTTTATTATATATAATATAATATAATTACATTAATATATAAATGTATAATATATTTTATACATTTATATATATTACATGTAATATATTATATATAATTTATATATATTTTTTTTTTATTATATATATAAATATATAATACATATAAAATAAACCAGTTATATTTGTATATAATAAAATAATATAATACATTATGTTACATATAATGATTTATAATATACATTATATATAATATAAACTATATATTTTTATATATATATATTTTTTTGAGACGGAATCTTGCTCTGTTGCCCTGGCTGGAGTGCAATGACATGATCTTGGTTCACTGCAACCTCCACCTCTCAGGTTCAAGCGATTCTCCTGCCTCAGCCTCCCAAGTAACTGGGACTACAGGCACGTGTCACCACACCTGGCTAATTTTTGTAGTTTTAGTAGAGACAGGGTCTCACCATGTTGGTCGGGCTGGTCTTGAACTCCTGATCTCAAGTGATCTGCCTGCCTTAGCCTCCCAAAGTGCTGGGATTACAAGTGTGAGCCACAGCGCCTGGCAGCTTCTTTTATATTCTTAACTGGTGGTACCACCACCCACCAAGTTGTTTAGGCCAGAAACCTGAAGGTCATCAATTCCTGATTCTTCTCTTGTACAATCACTCACAACATCCCACCAATTTTACCTCCAAATAGTCCTTAGATCTGTCCCCTCCTCGCAGCCCCTGTTACCACTGCCCCAGTCCATGCCTCCCCATTTCTCACCAGATACTGCAGTTCTTGTCAGGAGTGCCAGAGAGTATGTTTTTAATCAGACCAGGTCACTTCTCTCCTTCAAAGCCATCAGGGGCTCCTCATTTCCTAAGGCATGAGTTCTTTATTGAGACCTGTAGGGCCTCGAGGCCTCGGTCTGTCTGCTCCTCTGGCCTTTAGCCCCAGAACCAATTGGCAGGAGTCTTGGAAGTGAGGGAGTTGGAAAGGCCCTCCAGGTGTCTGCTCACCTAGGTGGGTGCCAGGTCTTGAGTACGAGGAAGGCAGCGAATCCCAGGCTGCCCCATGAGGCTTTGTGTCTTGGGTAGGAGCTGCCTCATCTCCCCACTGGCTCCCACAGCTCAGGCCCTGCCCTAGGGGATGAGGCGGGAGCTGAGCTTGAAGAAGGGATGGAAAGGGTAGAGGGAGGATGCCCCAAGCCTACATTTACTGTCTAACACTGGAGCATGTATTTCCCGGTGCACAGGCAGTGCCTGTGTGGCTGCATGGAGTCAGTAGGTGCCGTGGACAGAGTGTGGTCTGAAAGCTGGAAGCTACCTGGGTTCTCAACCCAGCTCTTCCCCTTGGCAATGCCTGAACCCCTTTGAGCCGGTTTCCTCATCTCTAATAATACCAGGCCTCAGGGCCTAGCCTGCAGTAAATCCTCAACAAATGAGGCACTGGGGCCTAAAGCTCCCTAAAAGACCCATCTTCCACCTAGTAAAATAAGTGGCGTGGCTAAGAGCACGAACACTGAGCCCAGTACCCTGGGCATAAATCCTAACTGCCACTTACTAGCTAGGCAGCTTAGAATAAATATTCAAACTCCATATGTCTCTGTTTCCTCACTGCAAAATGAAGCTACAACTACTGACTGTGTTGGGTTGTTGGAGGGAGTGCGTCGTGAATGTGTGTAAAGCACTTAGAACGGTTCTGCAGTGTAAGCACTCAGCAAGGG